ATGTGCTTTACATAATTGATGTATGTATGGATTGTGATAAGAGTTGTATGAGCCCAAATAAAATGATTTTTAAAAAAGAATAAAAAAGAGAAATTACATTCTAAAAAAAAAAAAAAGAAAGTTTACTACATCCAATCCCCACTGTCTCATTATTTGACATTTTTCATTTATGACAATAGTAAAAAATCCAACTATTTTGTGCATTAACATATGTCTGGCATTAACAAATGCTAAAATGCGAGATAAGACAGTGGATGGTGATGATTAAGGTAGGTGCCAACTTATTGGGACATAGTTCCCAGTGGCTTAGCAGTAATGTACTAATGTAATTTGCTACTTAATATACCAATGTAATTTGGCAATTAAGTAATGATGTGGTTATCTTCCATTTTCCCATAACATCAGTTTTTGCTTAATAACCTCATCTTACCAATAAATGAGTGGGTGAATCATTTTGGTTATGTCAGCAGAAGATCAGACTTTCCAACTGATGTATTCAGCAGCTCCAGAAAGTAAGGTCTCTTTTTTTCCATCTTGTAACTAATATCCTTAATGTGACTTTATCCCCAGTGAAATAGCTTCTGCAGTGCTGGCACCACATCTATCCACAACATCCAAAGGATAAAAGAAACTCTTCCCAGGTTTCTCCCAGCAGTAAGGAAATTCTCCCTAATTACCCACTTACAGAAGTTTCCTCTATAAGCTACCCACTTCCAGATCTGTTAGCCATTGGGTTACAGATCTATTCCTTACATCATGTTAAAGGAAAATCCATTCCCCTTGCCTATAAGGAGCTGAAGAACTGTACCTCAGGCATGTCTGTGAGGGAGAGAGCTCACACATGAAGAAAGTTCGTCCGTTGATAGGAAGAATAGAAACATGCTGAGAAGCACATTTGTACATGTGTTGCCATCATCATTCTCAAAACATTTTCTTTCTACTTTAGCCCTTGGTATTAGCTCTTCATTTTTCCCCTCCCTCCTGAACCCTTGATAATTTATAAATTATTATTTTGTCATGTCTTACACTATCCGACGTCTCCCTTCATCCACTTTTCTGTTCTGTCACCCAGGGAGGGGATGGTATGTAGATCCTTGTAATCGGTTCCCCCTTCTACCCCACCTTTCCCTTCTTCTCCTGGTATCGCTA